CCAAAGTTATAGACGTGGTCCCACGTTTATTATTATTTTATTCAATTTAGATTATTTAATTTAAATTTTCAGTGCAATTATAATAAAATAAAATCTAGAGATTTACTTATCTAAATTTGGTGCATGAGCTCACTTATAGTCCAAACTAATGAAAAAATAAGTTTTTATTGTAAAGAATATGCTGACCTTGCTCTTAGAAAAAAAGAAGGATAAATTGAGAACAATATTTAAAAAAACTATGTTTTCATCCGTTTAGTTCATGAATGGGCTCATGAGCGATGTCTAAACAAGTTTAATCCTAAATATGATATAATTGGAGTATATGAGAGGGTATGTTTGATTGAGATACAATTATAACAAAACACAAAGTTAGAGTATATTAAGTGATTTAAGTTGGGGGATGTGTGTGTATGTTTAACCCATTCCCTATTATGGTCTTCCAAATATTCATTGAAAAGCTAAAAAGGAATGATTAATAATTTGGTTCTAGAAGAAATTAAAAACTTTATTAAAAATCTTATGAGATCTGTTATTCAATAAGACTAACACTAATAATTCATCACAGAAAAAAAGATTATCTTGTTGAGGATCCCTAACTAATATTCAATACAAATAGAAAGCACTAATAGATGAATCTTTCAATGAACTTGATAGTTTGAATATCTGATAAGGATTATCGGAGGAGTTATTCAAATTCAGTTTCCTATTCTATTATGGTTTCCTAATGTGTTGTAACTTATGGCTAGGGTTAGCTCTTGCTATTGTATATATATACCTGTATTACTCAATCAATATATTCAAGTCTTCCAATTGTTTTACATGATATCAGAGCCGTAAGAGGTTTAACCACCCAGGTCTCTTGAAACCTTAATGTCTTCTTCACCCAGCCAACTGTCATGGGAAATCCATCGCTACCAACAACCATGTCGAATCTCATGCATCGATTACCTATCAAATTGACTGCTTCTAATTTTTTGCTTTGGAAGACTCAACTGATGCCTATGTTGAAAGGTTGTGGTCTTGCTCATCATCTGGATTTCTTTATTGCTCTACCATCACCGGTTCCTGAGGGGGATCAACCAAATCCCACTTATGTTAAGTGGGAACAACAAGATCAATTGGTGTTGAGCTGGATTGTCTCATCAGTTACTGAGAGTGTTCTTCAACAGATTGTTGGTATTGATGCGGCGGCAGCAGCTTGGACAAAACTCGTGCATGCATATGCTAAAGGTTCTAAACCACATATTAAGGAGTTGAAATCTCGCCTCCCTAAATTGCAACAAGACGCTGATAACGTTACTGGTTATTTACAAAAGACGAAACACATTTTTGACCAGTTAATTGCTCTTCAACATCCTTTTTCTAAAGAGGTTTTATTGATTACATTCTTGATGGTCTTAACTCCTCTTATAGACCATTTACATGTAATCTTGAAGACGACATGAAGATGTTAATTTTGAAGATCTATTTAGTATTTTGTTAATAGAAGAACATTAAGTTGCACGTGAAATTAATGTTGAGTCTAGTCTTTCAGACGAATGTTATACATCACGTCAGTCTTATTCTGGTTGTGATCGTGGTAGGGAACATGACTAATGAGGGGCGAAGTCGTTCTACTGTTAATTCCTTTCAACCTAATCATGGGTCAATGCTCACCAATTCTCACCGGTTCTGGTCCAAATAATTCCTCTAGTGTTTCCACCAATACAAATGATTATTCTATTGTGACTTATTTTAATTACAATAGTATCGGCCACTTTGCCAATATTTTTCCTTCTCCTCACAAGAAACGCAACTCCCAACCTCAACCTGCCTCCAACTTTACCCCTACAAATTCTCATCACCAAAATTGGGTAATGGGTTGGAAAACCTTACTCTCCATTCCGAATATCAAGGACTTGAAGAAGTGGTTGTTGGTGATGGTTCCTCTCTTTCTATAATTAAATATTGGATCATCTTCCTTTTTAGTTGGTGATAATAATTTTTTGTTTCAAGATATTTTACATGGTGAGAAGGATTATTAGAGGAGTTATTCAAATTCAGTTTCCTATTCTATAGTGGTTTCCTAATGTGTTGTAACTTATGATTAGGTTTAGCTCGTGCTATATATATATATATATATATATACTTGCATTACTCAATCAATATATTCAAGTATGCTAATTGTTTTACAATATCAAGAAAAGAAATGGACTTGACTCTTGATGTTTTAACTTAAACATCCAAAGAGTTTAAGAGTCGATCTTGAATGTGTTTTGCAACATCAAGCATTTTTACTTTCTTGATATAGAAATGCATTAGTATAATCTTACCTATCTGAATATTCCTTAATACTCTAATTCACCAAAAGTGAAAAGGATAAGGCAATCTTTTGATAAAGGGGAAGAGGTAGGGCACAACCTATTTTGTGGCACAAGATGCGTTAAAGGCAGGAATCAGTTCACAATGTTCAACTACTCGACTGGCTAAAGCTAAAAGGAGAAAGAGAGATGACTCTAGTTGTTGAGTACCTTGAGGAAGGTAGCATATCGACTTCTAGTAGATGAATAATCATGTATGTTTAGAAAAAATGCTATAAGATTCATTCACTAGGATTCCTTGAATAGGATTGCTAACTTATACTACTTCAACACAAATAGAAAATACTAAAAGATGAATTCTTCAATGAGCTCGATGGTTGGAATATCAAGACAAGGAATGGACTTATCTCTCGAAACTATAACATTGAACCTCTAAGAGTTTAAGAGTCGAGATTTAATGAGTTTTACCATGCAATATCAGATAGAAAATACTAATAGCTGAGTCTTTCAATGAGCTTCAAGCTTTGAATATCAAGAAAAGAAGTGAGCACAACTCTTGAAAATATAATAATACTCCAAAAAGTTTAAGAGTTGAGTTTTAAAGAGTTTTAATAGGTAATGTCATGCAGATTCGATTCCTTAATATTACCTTTTTGGATATTCCTCAATATACGAATTCACTAAAGGTGAAAAGGAGATGAATAGATCATCCACTTTCAGAAACAATCCTATAAGATACGTTCGTTAAAACTAGTGCCAACAGTTCATCATAATATTATTGAGTGAAATCACTAAATGATACTAATTTAATGCCAAAAAAAATATTTGAATTTTTTAATGAGCTTTATTGTTTGGATATCAAGAAAAGAAATGGACATAGACACTTGAAATTATAATTTCAAGTCTCTGAAGAGTTTAAGAGTTGAGTATTAATGAGTTTTAATATGCAATTTCAAGTAGTTTCACTTTCTTGATATAAAAATGCATTATTGGAATGATTCCTTTTTGGATATTCCTTAATGTCCCTATTCATGGAGTGAAAAGGAGATGAATAATCATCGGCTTTCAGAAGAAATCCTACAAGATCCATCACTTAGTATTGGTGCAGCTAGTTCATTACGGAAAGAAAAGATTCACCGAGTGAGATTGCTAACTAATACTAATTCAATACAAATATAAAAACCGATAGATGAGGTTGATGGTTTGAATATCAAGAAAAGAAATAGACACGACTCTTGAAGTCATCACTTTAAACCTTTAAATGGTTTGAGAGTCGTGCCTTAATGAGTTTAAGCATGCAATATCAACCAACTTCACTTTCTTCAAATAAAATTGCATTATTTGAATGATGTCTTTTTGGATACCCCTCAAGATTCCTATTTGCAAAAGGTAAAAAGAGATGAATAAGTCATTTTCCTTCAGGAAACATCCTACAAGATCTATTTATTAGGACAGTTGTCGACACTTTATCACGAAAGAAAAGATTCACTGAGTGGGATCACTAACTAATACTAATTCAATACAAATGGAGAATACTAATGGATGAATCTTTCAATGAGCTTGGCATTTTGAATATTAAGAAAAGAAATGGATACGACTCAAATCTTCAAAGAGTTCAAAAGTTTAGTCGTAATAAGTTTTAATATGCAATGTCAAGTAGTTTCATTTTCTTGATACAAAAATGCATTACTGAAATGATGCATTTTTAAACATTCTCTTGATTTCCTTATTCATGAAAGATGAAAAGATTTGATGAGAGAGATTACTAACTAATGGAAATTCAATGTAAATATATAGAAAATGCTAATAAATGAATTTTGAAATGAGCTTGATGGTCTCAATATAAGAAAAAAAATGCACATGACTCTTAGAAACTATAACTTCATTCTCTCAAGTGTTTAAAAGTTGAGTGTTAATATGCAATGTTAAGCAATTTTGCTTTCTTAGTATAAAAATGAATTTTTGCAATGATGTTTTTGGATATTCTTTAATATGTTTATTCATGAAAGATCAAAAGGATATAAATAATCATATTCTTTTAGAAGAAATTTTACATTATTTATATATTAGATTCATTATGGAAAATAATATTTATTTTTTTTGAAGAAATCCAACTAGAAATTTTATTAAAAGAAAACTGTATACAGATGTGAAATAGAGATCAATATATTTCTATATTTTTATATAGGAAGTCTAATAAAAAACCACTTGTAAAAAGAAGTCTTGATTTGAAGTATTTGATCGAGTTAATAGAAAATAATATTTGTGCCATAGGTGATTGTTTGCTCCACTTAGTGACTATTCATAGCCACTATTTGACTCCATGATCTTTATATAAGTCCAATCTGACTACCTTCAAATTTATTCCTTCTATTGCAGAGGAGATTTGCATTTCTTTCTGCATAATTATCTAAATAAAAAAAAGATACTAGATAAAATTATCATAATGGCGATAACAATAACTCAAAACTAGATCTAAGAATGAATCATATTATTAGAATGTTATTACCACGAGCTTTAATTAAATAACAATTATTTACAAATATTTTTCTTTTTGAATATTGGAAGAGAGAATTCGAATCCGGATCTATTGGCAGGTTGTATATATACTTACCATGAGTCCATATATTAATGGGCATTTACAAATATTTTTATCATTCAGTTTTCTTAGCAATTATTTGTTCCTAACATTCAACACAGCTGTGCTTATGAGAGTGGATGCTTCTGCAACATTTTTCACTGGGATGCTCAGGGATGGAGAAAATGCACTGGTTGCCGAAAGGTGAGATAAAATTCCATTTTATGATTAGATATTCATATTAATATATCTACAAGCAACTAATTAACATGTATATTTTATTTCTCCAAAGTTTTTTTATCTTTTGGTTATTTGGTCATGTACTAATATTTTAATTTTCCTTATTATAGTTACTTCACTGTGGATGTGTTATGTCAACTCACACACATGTGCTGACGGATTTTGGAGGTATCAAATGCATGCAGTGCTTGAAGAAGGTATCCATTTCAGTAAACCCATCATCTGCTTTCATCTTCTAATTTTTCACTTTCAGAAGTTTTTTAATCTCAACAGTAAATTAATTTTCCCTTTAGTAAAAACATTTTGTTTTCAGCATTGTTAGAAACAACTTTCTGTTAAATAAGTTTCTTCTTATATTTCTTTTGTCATAAAATTATAAATCATTTAACGTTTTTACAAGAGATTAAAAAACAATTAATTTTCATAAATTGTAATAAAACTAAGGGTAATTAATAAAATTATCATTTATCTTTATACTATGAGTTATTGCATCTCATGTAAATAATGGTAATATTGAAAAAATATGAATTATTACTCTTTAAAATATTTAAAACAACTCATATTTTGAAACGAAAGGAGTAATTGATAAACCAAATTTTGACTCTTTTGTTATCTGAGGATAAAAAAAAATTTATAGAAAATGTAAATGATAAAAAATAAAGGTAAATTTAATTAAATATATTTTATATATTACCTATTAATTACCATATAAATAATTTGGAAATTGGTGCAAATTACATTCTAAAGAAAAGCTTGGATGCATTCTTATGCTATTTTCTTTTTTATGTAATAAAATATTGCAGGAAAGCGGAAATTAGAAACCATGATCTTCGTAAAATGCATTGACATTTCTATGAAGTTACAACATCAGTACTCTCTACAATCCAACGCCATGGCCTTGGAAAATCAATAAATAGTACTGCCAGCATGATTAGTCAATCTATATATGACATCTTCAAACCATATATTTATATGTCATATGAATATTCAAATAAGAATATTATCTACAATAATGGAAACAGAAAGCATGTATTAGAAGTTTAAATATTTCTTTTTTTTAATCCTTTTTCGAATTGGTTATTTCTTGTTTGGTTTGTCAAAGTTCACAAGCGGAGCTAGCGCAATTATTTTGGGGAGCTAAATGAAATTTTTTTGAACTTTTAGGAGGGTCAAATGTAATTTTTCTATATTTTGAAAGATTAAAATATTATTTTCATAGGAAATTTTTTTAAAAAAAATGTTTTGGGGTGACCGGCCCTTAGGCCCCTACGAGGCTCTGCCCCTAATAGTGCGGATAATTCTCCGTCAATTTGAATCTCTATCAAAAGGCTTAACATGCTTGATGAGTCTGAAGGAAGAGTGAAAATAGAATCGAATTATCTATGGAAATAAAACCAATCTAATTGGTTATGTTCCATTTAGACCGTGTTCGGTAACAACATTCATGATAATTTTTAGTGTTTTGAATTAGTCAAAATACTATGTCTATATTATTATATCCGATAAACTGATGTATGTGCGTTTTCTAAAAGGTTATTTCACGTAATGTGTAGAGTTTTAAGTTTATTTATAGAAATTTTTATACAACCTTATTCTTTATCACATTATGTCTTTTCATTGTTTTTTATATTTTAAAATTCTTCTTGATCACATTATGTCTTTTTATTATATTTTATACTTAGATTTTGTTATAATTGATAGTAAAGGAAAAAAAAAAATATTTGTTTATATATTTGCATTTGAACTTAAAAAAATATTAAAAATTAAAAATATTGATCTCCTAAAATATTAAAAATTTTCAATTTTATTTATAAAATAATGAACTTTTTTATTTTTGCTCTCTTAAATTTTGAAAATTTAGGTTTATTAATGTTATGCCCTACTCTAACCGCCAAAGATTATCCGCTTTGGATCAAGCCAATTTCATTGTGGAGGTGAAATGAGGAATTTTCCAGGAGGTTACCCAATCTACGATTTTCGTTAAGCGAACGTGTTTAAGCTGAAATTCTTCTAAATCTCCAAGCCATTTCATCAAAATGTGCCTTTGATGATTAGTTTTTTCTTTCTTGATATACGTCAATTCATTCATGTATCCCTCATTCCACTACCATAGCGAGCCTGCTATCTTAGAAGCTAGCCAGAAGCTTTTACTCTATCCGCTCTCTTTTGATCGCTTTGCTGGATGAGAATGTCACAATTAATGATGAATTTGATTTTATGGCTATAAGTGAATATTTCAACGTTTTTTTTTTTATTATTTTAAATTTAATTGTCAATCAAATAACTGTTTTTACCGAACACTTCGCTTTTAACCGCTATTTAAACAGCTAAAAGCTAACAACTAATAATTCACACTTAATAGCTATTAAGACAGCTAACAACTATTAAAATAGCTAATAGCTCTTAGAACAGCTAAATTTACCAAAATGACCATTTATCTTTTAGTTTAGACTTTTTAAATTAAATTTAAGGTTTTCCAAACAAAAATTTTTTTATTTTTTCTAATAAAATTGAATCAAATTGAAGCAAATCAACCTTTAATTTGGTTTGATTGGCTTTATCGATTGTGTAGTCCAACAGCGAACCTTAAGAACAGCACAAGTCGATTCAATTAGAATTTCTTGTCATGTCATTAAAAAATTGCATATCCATTCCAACCTTTACGGCTTTACCAACCCGAACGCAGTGTCGTGTAAAGAAAGTAGCCGTTAACACATCATTTTCTGAGCATCCGATTATGAAATCAATCTGCAGTCACAGATTTGGCAAAATATCTCGTAAAGTCTTTCTTCGCTGAAATTTTCTCTTATTTTCTCACAATTATTTCTTTCTCGGAACCCAAATAGAACTCAAAGTTCAGTGCTAACAGTTTTCGTATTACCATGAGCTTGCTTATAAATCACTGTGTTAGCTGTGGTCTGAATAACCTGAGAACCAACCATGGTGAGTAAGTTTTAATTAAAGTTTCCTTTTTTTAATTTCATTGCTCCTGAAACTAAATAACAAACCCATCCTCTCAATTTCGCTTTTGAAGGTAGAGAAAAGTTCCCAATCAAAATCAGCGACAAGTCTTCAACAAATGATATTGTTTCCTTTTCGAAGAATGACAGTAATTGCAGCTCTCGAATTAATACAATAGCGAGTTCTATTGCAGGTAATTTAATTTTTTAATTGATCGATCTACTTGATTGTTAAATAAGTCTATTTATTTTATTATTTTTATGATTCTTTCCATTTTTTTGTAATTTTCTTTTCGCTGCTCTTGGCATTCAGCTATAAATATTTCTGTTTTGTAATTTCTCAGTTGCAAATTTGGTTGCAATAGACGCGGCAAAGGCTGTAACTACGAGTAAATTATTGGTGAGAATCTAAACTTATGGGGCAAACATTTGATGCATGTTTATTATTTTAATCTCATTTTAGAGTTCCTTAATTCAACTTAAATTAAACCAATTATGCTAAGTAAATGACATTATCAAATACAAAATGACTTTCCTGTTTACTACACCTCAAGATAATGATTGTGATTTAACTGCTTTTGAAATCTTTGGAGCAAGAAATACTTTTTTTTTTTTAAATTCAGGAAGAAGCTGCTTCTATCTATGCTTTGGCTGATGGAAGTACTGGGGATTGGTTTGGAACCTTTTTATATTCAGCTGGACAACAGGCTAATGAAGCTGTTCAAGACCAGTTATCTGCCCTTAGTTTTACCAGGTTTGTCTCCAAACATATTCCGTTCTATTTGTATATCTTTAAAAAATTCACTGCATTTGTTGATATTGTATGGTTAATTGGTTATTCCGTATTACAGTTTGGCAGTTATTTTTGGGGCAGGGCTTGTGACCAGCCTTTCACCTTGTACGCTGAGTGTTTTACCATTGACTCTTGGTTACATTGGTATGCATTTTCTCACTTTGAACTGACCTAAGTCATTCCCTGGAGGTGTGCGATTTCTGTTCTGAATCTCTTGTAATCTTCGAATCGGGATTAAGACCTCATTTTGATTATGCAGGAGCATTTGGCTCGGGGAAAAGCAGGGCAGAGGTAATGGCTTATCAAATTTGTTATCTTCGATCTTATATTCTTTTTAGTTTTCTCAGTTCCCACATTGAGATAAATTCTTAAGATATTAAATTGTGAAAATAGCTAAAGAATTGACTCGCTAAACAAAGAGAAAAAAAAAATATCAGGCCAGCAGTTTTAATGTAGACATGTGAGTTTTGTTGTACTAGGCATCTTGAACTTTTTGTTGTAGCCTCCATAAGTAGCACAACAAGGCTATAGCTACTTTACCCGCTCACACAGTGAAATAAGTTTGATGCTAATGTTCAGGTCATTGCGGATTCCATCGCATTTTCTTTAGGATTGGCTACCACACTAGCTCTTCTAGGCATAGCAGCCTCATTTGCTGGGAAGGCATATGGACAGATAGGACAAGGATTGCCTTTGGCTGCTTCTGGCTTGGCTGTTATTATGGGTCTAAATCTCCTTGAGGTATTAATATGTATGTATTGCTTATTGTTTGATTTGCGTTTTACAAGAATTGGCTGTTTGTTTTGTTACTCTGAGCACTGATGATGGCCCTTTTAATGTTCCCTGGACGAGTGGTTGGTTATTTTTCCTTAGTTCTCCGTTTCCATTTTGTGTTCTCATTCTGGGGATCATTGTTGCAGATAATTGAGTTACAGCTCCCTTCCTTTTTTAACAATTTCGACCCCCGAGCTGCTGCTGCTAATTTCCCATCAAGTAATTGACCTTTACAAATTTTACAGTCCTTTGAGTAATCATTATTTGGTTCATCGGATTCTCTTGAAATGTTTAATGATAAAAAAGCATGGTATTTTAGGTGTACAAGCATATTTAGCTGGGCTTACTTTTGCATTAGCTGCCTCTCCTTGCAGTACACCAGTACTTGCAACTTTGTTGGGATATGTAGCTACCTCTAAGGTACATATCTGCTCTCCTTCTCCCTCTCCCTAGCCACGCCATCCCCATATTCTGCTCTCCTTTCTCCCTCTCCCTAGGCCACGCCGATCCCCCCACCCCCCCCCCCCCCCCCCCCCCCCCCCCCCCCCCCCTCAAAAAAAAAAAAAAAAAAAAAAAAGATCTTCAAGTCAAACTTAGAAGGAAAGGAAGAAATAACATATCCATTATGCTTAGTGCAACTCCTTGCTGGTTTATTTCCTGCTTTTCATATGTTAGGCAAAAAAAAAAAAAAAAAAAAAAAAATCTTCAAGTTCAAATAGAAGGAAAGGAAGAAAATAACATATCCATTATGCTTAGTGAACTCCTTGCTGTTTATTTCCTGCTTTCATAGTTGGCAAGTTGATTTGTTTGAATTTGGCTTACATGTGGCTACAATTTCATGTATTGTAAAAAATATAATTTATAACAGGATCCACTGGTAGGAGGCAGCTTGCTTTTGACGTATACTACTGGCTATGTTGCTCCTCTTCTTCTTGCTGCTTCGTTTGCTGGAGCATTGCAGGTATGTAGTTCGTATTTGGGGAGTGTAGTTTCTATTATTTTGGTTAAATCAAGAGGATAAGCAATTGCTTCCACTACCACCTGAACTTTTAATGTTTCATGAAACTACCATTTCCTGGGACTATGCTCAATGCGTAATAGTTACATTCTATTTGAGTAAACCGAATGTGAAAATGTTTTGATACTAATAACTACCCTAATCAAGATTCAAGGCTATGAGAGACTGTAGGATCAGAATAATCTTTTATATATTGTCTTGCTTCAATTTTCTTTTTAACACTTTAAAAGTCTAACCTGTAAGACGTTCGCAGAGCCTGCTGTCATTCCGCAAGTTTTCAGCATGGATCAACCCAATGAGGTATTACAGGAGCATCTTTAATATATATATATATAGAATTTGATAACAAGTAGTTGCTGCTTTACAATTCAATAATCTTTCACATTATCAGTTCTTTTAGTGCTAGACAACCATGTTAATTGATTCTTTTTATGTCTATGGAACCCATATCTTAGTCAGCACTTAGCAAATATAGCATGCCATTCGTCTTTCACATGCAGTTGCATATTCCTGTCAAGAACTATCTACCTAGTTTCTGGTTCCTTAAAATGTTTCTAATTCTTGTTTGAATTTGATTCGCTTTGCAGTGGTGCACTTCTCCTAGGAGGAGGTGTATATACTTTCTTGGATAGGCTCTTCCCACCCACAATGGCAATGTAAATACCCCACCTGCGCCACTAGGTTTTACTTCACAAAGTGTACAGAGAAAATGAAAAATTGATTGATAGTAAGACAAAGCTTATACAAACCCTTCATTCTATAAAGTCATTAGGTTTCTCATAATGGTAATATCAGTGATCTATTACTCATTTTAGATTTCATTACTTCCTAGAGGCACAGACATGCATGCATAAATATGGAGTTAATGACATGATATGAACACATTGACATAATTTTTCTTATATAAATTGGTGCACAACACTCATCCTGTAATCATATGGTCCCGTCATGACTACAATATATGGAAACAAAAAAGAGTGTACATTCAAATTTCAAACAAGTCCAGAATTCTGGAAATATGGAAACCAAAAGCCATAGTTGCTGTGGAAGTATGAAAGGTACAACCGCTACAATATATAAAAGCTAAAACAGCTTTTTCTGATATTTTGTAGTCGGCCACGAAACAGATAAGTGAGTGGATCTAAGTGACAAATTGATTAGGTCATGACCTCATTAACTGGCAGGATGGTGATGTTGTCCATAGATAATCGTTCTTATCGCAATATCTGAATTATGCTTTTGACAGATGGTATTTGCACGTTTCCAATTCTATCAATTTGCTTCATCATATTTTCTTTAAAGACTAGTTAGTTTTTAAATTATGACTTGAGGGATATTAACAAAGACATATTCTGGATACTTTTCTTCAAAGATATGCATTGATCTGTTTGATTAATTTAGATGAAAGATCGTAGTTATTACGATAATGACATTATCATATGAAAGAGAATAGAATAAAATAAAATTCACCTTGCTTCATTACCATAATCACGTAAACTATTATCTTATATATATGGAAAATTTTTTTTAACTAGTAAATATCCAAATTAACCTCCCATTTGATACTAAAATTAAATAAAGTGTGTTTTTGATTGATATCATTTAAGTGATAAGTGGGATGACTCGAAAACGAAGAATGAAAGGTCTCGCGTTTAAAATCCTCCTCTCAGTCACAAGTGTTCTCACTAATTTTCAATTCTTTATTTTTAACTAGTAAATATCCAAATTAACCTCCCATTTGATACTAAAATTAAATAAAGTGTGTTTTTGATTGATATCATTTAAGTGATAAGTGGGATGACTCGAAAACGAAGAATGAAAGGTCTCGCGTTTAAAATCCTCCTCTCAGTCACAAGTGTTCTCACTAATTTTCAATTCTTTATTTCATATGACAAACACCAGTAGAAAATTGATTGGTCTTTCCATGTAGAAAGGGATGATGATTTGATCCCAAGTTCTATTCCTCCTTTCACCTCTTAATAACCAAATTTATTTCCTACACATTATGGGGCAAAAAACAAAATGGACTATTGAAATCTCATTTGAATTATCATTGTTATGAAAAATATATATTAGCATATTGTGCCATAAGATAACTATAATAATATTAATATGTATCTCTTTATTGCAAAAGGAATTATATATAAGCTCATAACAATGACAATGGCGAATGTCATTAGAGACAAACTCTAGTAATTAATTTATGCAAACTACTAATCTAGAAGTACCAGTTAATGTTCAAAATCCCACACCAATTATAGCTATTTTCAAATAAGTTTATGCATAAATGAAAAATTATATGCATAAAAGAGGTGTGATCATTTTGTTAACCAACATAAAATTTGCGATACTGACTGGAAATTAATTTACAAATTTACTATCTTAACCAAAATTCTTTGCTTCTCTTTCTCCTTTTGTTGAAGATGTAACTTTACTCTTCAATCCACGAATATATTCCAAATTCCTAATAAGCCCCACGACTGATCATTTCTTGGAACTGGTTCAGTGACTCCTGTCTTTGCAACCTCATTTCCTCGTTAAACTTCTTAATAAACGCTTCCACTCGTCGATTCAACTCGTCCTGACTCAACGATGGTTCCTTCTTGAGTTTCCCTGATCCCTGACGATTCTGACTCAGCTTCGACTTACTATTGTTTTCACTGAAAGTATCCGATTTCTTCATCGTCGTCGACGGCGGGGTGCTGCTCACGTGAGAGTCCCACGTGTCGGATTTTTTTAAATGTCTGGTTAATGGCATTGGACGGCCGTCGGTTATCATCTTCCACGCGCTCTCCAACGTGTCCTGCCGTTTCGGTTTAGAAACGCCCAATACTGTAGTTTTTCCGGCTAAACATATCAAAATTTAAGATGACAATTAAATTTATATTGAACCACCATTTTTGCATCTCAATTTGCTAATCGCACTTAAATATAATAATTAATTATTATTAATAATCAGATAGATTACCTTCAGGGCTTGATTTTACTGATTTCTTCAAACCAAATCTTGCAGAAACCAAAGGCTTCTGTCTCTCAGCCAATAACTCCACAGAATCACTCCTCTCCAGTGGCTGCGCCGATTTGGACAAACTAACCACCTCATCCCGACCGTTCACTACTGTTACTTCCTTATCATCCATAACCATGCCTGTCACATTCAAATCTTGGTACTCTAATCCGCTGGAAAGAACTACGCCAGAGACCTTCATCGGTGCCACCCGCGGCAGTGGCTGAGGGATTATCTCAGGTTTTTTGGATTCTTCGGGTGTTTGAAGTAGGAGCTTGGAGGAGGCGACGATGGAGATGATTATTCCGTTAATTACTAAATAGAGATAAGGAGGACGAAGCCAAGCGAGAAAAGAGGCATACATGACAGGAAGTTCAGAGACTGCAAAATCTGTAACTAACGGAACTGACAGCTTTAATACAACTGCAACTGATAATACAGCAGTGGACATTAAAGCTACTTTAAGAGAAAGAACAAAGCTTCCATAACTTGATATCGGAGACGCCATAACTTTTTTTCAGATAAAGAGAGCAAAGGTGAAGAGAGAGAAGAGACAGTAAAAATGGAGTTTTTGCATGTGAAGAAACAACGGGGAGAGGGAGAGGCATATATATGCGAGAGAGAGTTGCTGAGAAGAAATATGGACCGTTGGATTTGTGTGATTGATCGGCCGATTAAAGTAGAGTTTGTTGTGGGACCAAATGATTTTCCATGTAGGTTAGAGTTAGGTCAGTAAGTGGACACGTGGACTAGCTTACATGTCAGGATTGACATGTGATGCTGTTTTTTGTTAACGTCTGGCACAGATTTTGTCGTAGTTTTAGTTCTTCCAACTTCCAAGTAAAAGTGTCGAAATAAAATACTATTTTGACAAATGTTATTCAATTATTTCATTGTCTTAACATAGTATTATTCTAGTTATCCATTTAATAATAATATTAATATTCATAATCTAACCATAAGCGTATTTATATAATAGGATAAAAAATAAAATATAATTTCTCAAACTATTTTTCAGGAATTTACCTTCTTTGTAAGAAAAATTGAATAATTTACTTTTTAAAAAGTAAAATTAATAAAATAAACTAAATACAAACATTTTATGTACTTTTAAAATTTTACTCTTCCATAGTCTATTTATCCTCTGACCACATCTCTTATATCAAATTTAGTTGTTCTTATTATGATCATAATAAAGTGTCAATAAATTAGAAAATTATTATTATCATAAATTTCAATATTATTTAAAAACATTTCGTAATAATTTTATCACTTTTTATTGTCTAAGAAATTGAAATATTTTTTAATAGAGGGCTAAAATTAATGTAAATTATTACTATCTCTGTTTGATAATACTTGCGATATTTGAAATTTTACGTCCCTTAAAAAAATCATTAAATTTGTCTAAATTAGAATAAATTATCGAGTAAATTGATTATATTACCTTTAATTTAATCATAATTCTCTAAGAAAATTATTAAATTGAAGCTTATTGGTCATGTATAAAGGATAAACATGAAAAAGAACATTTATTACTCATCGCAACAACAAATGTAATAAGTATTTTGGAATAAACTATTTTCTCAAATATGATAAGTATTATGGAACGGAGGTAGTATTTTGTTTGATTTTAAAAGTTGGAGAATATTTATTTATTTACTTATTTTTTTACAAATAAATCAAAGATTATTCAAGCTTGGAACGTCAATTAAGTAATCCATCAATTGCTTTTTTTTTTTTTTTTTTTTTTTACAAGCTGGAACGTTCAATTAAGTAAATCCATCAATTGCCTTTTTTTTTTTTTTTTTTTTTTTTTAACATCTTTTTTTTTTTTTTTTTTTTTTTTTTTAACATCTTAAGAGAATTCAACCCAGAATTTTTCATGGCTTATTAACTAGATGCAGAAAAGTCATTCTCTTCTTTAAAATCAACATGCAAAGAACCAATCTTTAATCTAATTTCTTAAAAGCAAACTATTTATGCTGGAATGTAAAAAAAAATCCCATCTAATTTGACAGTAAAAATAACATTTTGATTAACAGATATAGATTTACGGTTTTGACTATCTGTTAGGGTTTTGTTTACATGCATGTATGTGCGTTTTTCATTTTTATTGTGTTTTTTTTTTTTTTGAATGTTTTCTTTTTTATTGTTAATTATTCGATATACGACAAATGTCTATACATTTTCTAATCGGATATAGAATGGAACTATTTTTTAATTTTGGATAAAACAAAAGCATTTTCACACGATAAAAGATACTATTGTCTGAAAAAAGAAAGTGTTTGTCGCTCCAAATACCACAAGCACTTAAAGAAAATATATTTAATTTGGCTCATTTAAGGAATATATAATTGTTAATTTAAGTTTTCTCATTAATCAATTATATTTTTAACCTAGGTTATTTACTTTATAGTAATCTTGCTGGCGAACATAAACACAGACCACAGTCTTTCATGTTCTCATCAATTGGTAATGTCAGAAACATTGAAATTATTATTATTATTTTCAAATGATTAACTTGGTAACTAATATTTTTATAATTTGACTGTTAAGTAGCACTGTAGGTGTCTGAAGATCCTTAATCACCGGCCATGGAGGTGGGTCTTATGGGTCTCCCACATGCCAATTAGACTGGTGCCTGTAGCCCTTAACCGACCACTCATTTTGTTTTGGTATATAAGCTTAAAAAAACTTTTAGCAAATTGAGGATGACAAGTTCATCGAAATCAGACATAAAAAATGTTTTAGAAGGAAAAATATAAGTAATTGAAGTTTAAGTTTTGATTTTAATTAAGATTTAAGCATCTCATACAAAAAAAAAACTTGAATAATTTTAATATATTTACATTAAATTTTTTATTAATAAAAATTTCTCAGTTTTATGATATTGAAGTCGTGTTAAAAAAAATCTTATTTTTGGAAGAAATCAAATTAAAAATTTCATTAAGAAGAAATGTATACAGATATTAATATATATCAATATGCTTTTATATTTTTGTATAGGAAGTCTAATAATAAATCATATATACAAAGAATAAAAGAAAATACATTGTTGATTTGAAGTATTTGATCAAGTTGATCGCTTGCTTCACTTGGCGGTTATTCATGGTCATTGTTCAACTCCATGATATTTGTACAACTCAGATTTAATTACTTTCAAATTTCTTCCTTCTATTAGAGAAGAGATCTGCACTTTTTTCTATAAAACGATCCAATGACCTTAGACAAAATCACCATAGGTGACAACAATAATGCAAAACTAGATATGAGAATAAAATCTCAGGATATAGACAATAATAAATCTCAATATTTGAGTGACAATAACTCAGATCTGTATAAACAAAAAATAAATAGAGGAAAAGTGGTGACTGCCGATGGCTGCACGTGAAAGAAGAAAAAATAGTTTTTAAGTTTTAAGTTTTTGGAGAAAGGGAATCGATTTTAATCATGATCAAAGTTGTAAAATCTTAATCGGGTTTTTTTTTTTTTTTTTTTGGAGAAAGGGAATCGATTTTTAGATCATGATTCAAAGTTTGTAAATCTTAATCGGGTTTTTTTTTTTTTTTTGGTCAAGTTTTTTTTTTTTTTTGGTGTAAACCACCGATAAAATAAATAGAGGGAAAGTGATGACCACCAATGACTCCACGTGAAAGAAGAAAAAAGAGTTTTTTAAGTTTTAAGTTTTCGGAGAAGATTTTAATCGTGATCAAAATTATAGCAGCATGAGTTTTTAATGTGATGAGAACTCATCATATATCCAATTGGTTGTCTTTATCTCGATACCTAAACCACCGACAGGCTGGTAGTAAGACGAGCTTGGCGTGCAATTATGCAATGCTTAAGATTTCAATGGCAAAGGCGTTTGACTGCCTAATTATTTGATTGATTTTGATTGGCTCATAATTAATTATTCAGTTGTAGACACTACATATTATTTTGCTGATAGGTCAAAATTTTAGTTTTGAAAAATCTATCTATATAAATACGATGCAATATATGAATTTACTTCTGTATTCTTTGCAAAAACTTTTATGACACTCAATTTTTTTGCCAAAACTTCTGTGATATTCAATTTTCATTTTGATCTATTAAACACTTCAATTTTTAAAAAATTATACATATTAAACAATTTAATTAATATATTAAACACTTCAATTTATAAAATTAGATTAATTAAATATATATTGGATAGCTGAAAAATATGAAAATTATTGTTACAAAAATTATATTCGCTACATACTATATTTTGCATATCAAAGCCGATAACTTTAAAAATTTGTTGTTTCTAGTGTGATAAGTTGTGAGATTATTATAAAAAGAGAAAGTGTGTATACCACAAGGTCGATTTTAAAGTTTAAGGTATCGCAAGATTTTCTTATTAAACTTTTAAGAGTTATAGTATGTTTTCAGCTATATAAATATATAAAAACATAACCTTAAAAGCTGATATGACACATAAAATACCATAAATAAAATTTAATAATAATTATTACTTATATATAATTATTACATGCCCATATTTTGGAATTTTGAAGTGCTAAGTTGACAAGGGAAAAATATGTAAATGTAAGTTTTATAATTAAAAAAAAACTTAAATAACTATTAATTATGATAATTTATTATGTTAATTAAATTTTGGTTTATAATTTGAGAATTCTAAAGGTACTTGATAGAAGTAAAGGTGAAAGAATATTAGAAATTGTTGTAGAGCGTTACTCGATCTACAACGGTTTGGGTAATGCTCAATCAATCCTTAATAAATATTTTTATCAGTAATAAACTTTACAATTAAAGATTTGAATTAGAATAATAAAATTATGAGATTGAAGCTCTTTTCGATATACCATCATTGTTGGAGTTTAACCAGATTAACTATATGAACTAATAATACGGCATCTAATTTTCTCTCTCTAGCTTTATCTTTTTTTTATATATAGTTTTATTGAATTTTTTAATTTTTTTTTTAATGTTTAACTATTATAATTATGAGTGTTGGCTAGATCGAATGATACTCTGCTTTTTTGCGCATTCCTCAATTCCTTTATAATTTTAGCTCATGTTTGAATACTAGTTTATTCACTAATTGTGGTTCTCAATCTCATATTTTTTTTCTTGAAATTGATTAAGAATATTAATATTATAGACATTTTATTGCTCTGACATATTCATAATTTATGTATTTATGGTTTTTTGAGGTTGTCTTTTATAAGAGGTGACTAAGTGAACATTTAACAATAATTTTCTAAAATTTTTCTATTTAAGACAATAAAAAAAAGGCAATTTTTACATAATCAGCGCACGAATATATGACTAGTTATATTTAATCATAAATACTGTTATTTTCAGCGATAGAATGAAATCCTCAACTTACTAAATTATGGAATATGTGGATGCTGGTTATTAGAATTATCAAAATGATGAACGATTCATTTTCCATAATTTCCTTAAACATTTTTTTAATTGAAACTATTAATTTATTTAAATTATAAAAGAAAGATATTAAACAAACATAACATAAGATATCAATGGCCAAGTGGGTCCTTTTCATAAGAAGTGTCTGTATCTAGAAAAATTTAAAATAAATAAGTAGATTGTCCCTAAAAAGAAAATGAAATAGAGAGATATTAAAACTTTATGGAAGTCATAATTTTGGTTTTTAATTTATCAGATTTAACAATAAAAAAAAAATTACCAAGACAGGTGGATTAGTAAGACACTTTGTTAAGGATAAGAAAGACCATGGCACCTGTCAATTGGTTAGGGCTAAGAAGCAAAACAATGGCTTTGATACTAGGCATGGACAAGGTTTCAGTTTGAACCGAATTATATTGGAGACGAACTGAAATTGGATCAGAACCATCGGTTCGAAATTTTAAACCATAATCGGTGGTTCAAAGGCCCGGGAGATATGTAAGTATAGATTTTGTACCTCATCCTCACTCTCACCCTTATCCTCACCTCCTCCCTTTTTAATTTGTCATCTTGTTGAAAAATATTAAATTTCTTATAGAAATATTTGATAAATATTATAACTAAATATAGAAAATCAACCTGCTGAATCAAAAATATTAAATTTTTTTATAAAAGTAATAGGTACACGTTGCAAACAAATATAAAAATCAACCGGTATTTAACACATCCCTTTTAATTTGTAACCTCATTAAAAGATATTAAATTTCTTACGGGAATAATAGAGAAACGTTATGACCAAATATAGAAAATTAATCTATTAATTAAAGGATATTAAATTTCTTATAAAAGTAATAGATAAACAATGCAATTAAATATAGACAAACCAATCTGTATATAATAATTCTAAATCAAAGAATAAGTTATATAAATTAATTGTCTACAGTTTACAGATTTAGCATAAGCAATATATTATATCTTCATGAAGCAAATTATCCATCAAACAGTGACACTTTTCCTTTCGCAAAATGCAAAACAATAATAAGTCTAAAACCACATTTATTTCGAGATAATAATTTATTTTAGAAAATATTTTTCTCAATTTATTTTCTATTTGTTTGACTAAAATATTAAAATTAGTTAAACATATTAAAATATATCAATTAAATACCAAAAAAAAAAAAAATACTCCTTATATATACATATATATACTCTTAGATTTCTAACTTTCCAAAAAAATCTGCAGTTGTTTGTAATTCTAAAGGGAAGGGGGAATATTAGGGAACATTAGGATTGTTTGTGACTCTTAGATTTTTCTATATTTGATTGCAACATTTATCTATCACTTTTGTAAAACATTTAATTTTCTTCGATCAATAGATTAATTTTCTATATATATTTGGTTGTAATGTTTTTCTATTACTTTTATAAGAAATTCAGTATTTTTTAATGATGTTACAAATTAAAAGAGTGTGAAGATGACGTTCAGACGTGAACGTAAAGGCATGACTTTATTGCCTTGTTAGATTATTTTATAATTTGAGTATAAAAAAAAAGTGTCCTTACATTTTAGATATGGAAGATCTCATTTTTAATAGTAAAATTGGACATAAGTAGAAAACTACATATTTGAATGCTGGACTTTATGAAATTCAATGATTATATAGTAAATTTTTGAGTATTTTCAATCTTTTTTTTTTATTATTTTTATACGATTACATGCAAAATATGATTTGAACATAAAATTTGAAACCACTTTTTCCATTCAAATATTCTATTGAGTTATAAAAGATATATCTCATGGCTAATAACGATATTATTAAAGAACTAATATTTGAACTTATCAAGTCAGTCATAAATTTTACACTATAAAAAAATAGAAATTATTGACAAATAGATATTTTATTGGTAAATCAGAGTTACGTACAAATTTCGATAAAAATTTTTATTGGTAAAACCCTTGTTTGTAATTTTATACCAACAAAATTTTATAATTAACATTAAAAGAACTAATATTTGAATTTAATTATAGTCCTAATATGACAATTAAATTATAACTTTAAAACGATCAATGTTCTCTGCCACTTCGGTGCCAGTACGAGAGACTAAGCCCTAAGCGAGCGAAGATGCGAGCATTGTACTCTTGTAAGAGGATATAGTTCTCCATAGAGAAGAGCTCTATTAGCACTATAGGTCTAAAAGCATGTGCATCTCTCCGTGGACAAAAGTTTCAATGTAGGCCGTGCTTTGCTGTCCAGAATGCCCCAAAGGCCTTAGGTTTGCCCTCCAATATGCTAGGCCTTTATGTATATGGCACATCAGGCCTTTATAGTTGGATAATATTTGAAGACCATTAGAACATGCATGGCTAGTCTAGATCATCGGAGTCTAGATGTGATATAGTATTAAAGGCTATAAAGAGTTTGGCAATTGCGGTTACAAAATAAATAAATTTATAGTTTCTTAAAAAGATAAATAATTATAAAAAAAAGAAGCGTTATAAACAAAGCACTTTTTTTTTTTTTATAGAAAATTTGTCCATGTGAATTATTATTTCAAACAATTCTTTATTTATCTACTCTAACGTTAACAAATATGTTCGGACAATAATGCTACCACATTTTAAATAAACATTATAAACTTTAAATAAATATTAATCTAAATTACAATAAAAAAAATGAACAATTGCCACACTCGACACAATCAATAAGGGAAAGACTTGAGTGCTCAGAAATTTAAGAATCGAAAAAGCTTATCTTCTAGTATTGTTTTTAAGAATATATAAAAGGTGCACTTTGCTAGCTATTTGTATCATAAACTCATAGTAATAGATGCAGTTCAACTTAATCGTAGGCTTGTATAATCTTAATATGTTATACTGGTCAAGTTCCATTATTACAATTCTATAATTTATTACTAAACCCTTAGCCGAAAATCATTTTCTAAAGATTAATCAAATATAATTAGATAATTACTTTCTCAGCTATAAAAAAATTGGATCAAAGAGTTTTCTCAAACATTTAATTACGAACAAGTAAACTTGCAAATCAACAACAATATATATATATATATATATTGTCAGCCTGTAATAATAATAATAATACAAAAATCTGAAAAAGCCATTATATTATGAAATGCATGAACAGGGATACAACAAATCATCATTAGCAGCTTAAAGGTTTAGTTAATGGAGTTACATTACGCATACAGAAAGAAGTCACAAAGGGGTAAAAGAACACTCTTGGCGTTAGGATGATCGAGCTCAACCGACTCCCACCATTCGCGTGGCCATGCATTTATACGTTGAAGAGTAGGAAGATGAAATGGTTGGCTGCCATTGTCCGTCAAGATAAGACAAAGTGGCATCTGCTTTAGCTTTGGACAATCGCTTACCCTAATTTGTTGCAGAGAACTGCAAATCATTCTTCCCCTACAAATGCTCTTCAGCAGTGGTAAACGACTCAAGTTTAAAGACTCTAATTTTGGGAGAGTGAATTGAATGTTGTCGTGGCTTTCTTGTTCTTGTTCTTGTTCTTCCATTGCTATCAGCTCCTCCATATTAGCACAACAAGAGACGAAAATCCGTTCAAGGTTTTTAAGGTTCGACAACAAGCCGGGAAGGAACAACTGCTTCACACTTCCACAGTAGACTACACTAATTTCTTGGAGAGAATCGCAAATTATTTTTTCCCTGCAAAATCTCTTCAGCTGTGGTAAAAAACTCACGTTTAAGGACTGTAATTTTGTGAGAATGAATTGAATGTTGTCATGGCTTTCTTGTTCTTCTCCCACTGCTATCAGCTCCTCCATATTTTCACAATTGCAAACAGAAATCTGTTGCAAGTTATGAAGATTTGACAAGCAGCCAGAAGGGAACAAGTGCTTCATTCTTGGACAGTCGTATAGATGAAATACTTTAAGAAGGGAAAAGGTAGGAAGAGGAGGTGACAATGGTATTGTTGCTTCTCTACTAAAGAGGAATTGTAAGTCCTCCAAAGAATGGATAGTAATATTCTCAAGGGTTTGGAATATACAAGGGGATGAGGAGGACAATGAAAACAAACATGCTATCCCATTACAATCTTTAATTTCTAAGTACTTGAGTTCAGTTGCATTTTGCAAGCATAGGCCATTTGTTTCGATGCAGCAGCCATCAATTATCAATTCTTCAACTTTTTTTGGGAGAACTAGGACACCATTGATATCGCATTCATTAAAACATACAAATTTCCTTTTCAGGTCTAGTAGTTCGTCCAAGCATCGGTAATGGGACTCCTTGTCTCCTACTAGAAGACCAAATTGGATTAGATTGGTGAAAAATATAGAAGCATTTGCATTGAACTCATCTACATCATTAAAACGACATATTAAAGCTTCCAATTTAACCAACTCTGCCACATCATCTACATTCTCTCCAAGTGAAAACTCAAAGCCAAGATTGAGGAATTGCAAATTCGAAAGGTTAGGTAATAGCCCAGGAGGAAACAAATCCTTCATATTTGTTCCTTCAATATTCAGATACCTGAGCTTGGATAGCAATTCTATGCCTTGAGGTACTTCATCAACACCACAATATCTAAGATCCAACTTCTTCAAAGCCCTAAGCTTTGCTAATGATGGCAAGCAACGTAGCTTTTGACACCAGCGGAGCAACAATGCACTTAGATTCACCAAATAAGAGATAGAACTAGGCAATTCCTCAATATCTGTATGAGAAAGATCAAGCACCTTGAGCCCATCCAATTGCTCGAAAAAAGAAGAAGAAATTGATCTCAATCCTTCATTGCCACACAACAATAAGGTTGAAAGATTGGGACACTTCGGTGAGTAACCATAAGGGATACCTTCAATGCAGTTATGCATTAATGAACATCTCACAAGATCATCAACCAATTCTTCCTCGTTGGGCATTTCTATCAGTTGTTTACCAGCTTGAACAATGGCTCGTGGATTCATCTTCATTATTTGAATGGCCATATCCCTAATCAAGTCATGCATCTTCACATGTCCGTAACCATAACTAGTACTACCTTCCAACAAACAAAGTCTTACAAGTCTATTTAGCATTGAGTGACCCCTATTCAGTTCTGCTTGCCTACTCTCCATTTGTTCAATTATTCCCTCAGCAATCAGATTATCTATCAACTCCTCCCTCTCTATCTCATCACCTTTTGGATATAATGCACAATACAAGAAGCATTTTTGTAATGCTGAATCATTTAAATAATCATAGCTAAGTCTAAGTTTTTCAAATATTTCCACATTCTCTTGCCTTGCTATTACTCCTTCCAATTTGTTGCTTGCATCCATCCATTCATGTATGTCACCCATTCCTCTCATTTGTGTTGCCATGCAATCAATTGCAAGTGGTAATCCCCCACAATTTTCTACAATGGATTTTGCAATTGCTTCAAATTCTAGAGAAAGAATAACTCCACATCCTGCTTCTTTCTTGAAAAATTTCCAAGATTCTTCCTCTGAAAGTGGCGTCACTTTGATTTTCTCTTGGCAACTCATCTTTTGACACACATCTAAAGATCGAGTAGTCAGAACCAATTTACATCCTTCCTTGATAACAGGAATTCCAACCTTGTCAAGAGGAATATATTTCCACACATCATCCAAAATTAAGATAGACTTGGTAAAAGCTTCTGATAATCTAGCTGCTCTTATATGCTCATCATCCACACTCGAAAGGTCTAGATACATAGCCCTTGAGATGGCATTCTGCAGCTTACAGATGTTAGACTCTACTGACACAGTAACCCAGTAAACATGATCAAATGCACTGGGAATTGTTGCAAGTTCATTATTGATATGTTTCGCTAATTCAGTTTTACCAACTCCTGCCATCCCATAAATGCCAATACTTGAGACGTTTTCATCCATTAACCAGGACCATATCTTATTCTTATTTCTTTCAAACTCTTTACCTATTGGCTTTGTTGCCGGCAACAAATCCCCCATAGTCTCCACAAGTCGTGTAGATTGCTCAACATGGTTCTCCACATGATTCACCCCATCAGCTTGGGAAGAAATTCCACCACCTCCCATTGGTTGATCTATGTTATGATCATCTATATACATCCACACTTCATCCATTAATGCATTGTCCAATTCGTGACTTTGTTGTTTTGAAACAGGATTATACATCTCATTGGCATGGTTTTTGCATTTCTTGTATCATCCTTGGATTGCTTCATTAGGCTACAGCTTTGACATAATCAGTTATGTTTTCGCAAATTTGAATGCCTTGTCTTGATATTCTCTCTAAATGGTCTTTGATCCTTGAAATTGAGAGTTTCCCCTTGAGTACTTTCCAACAGAATCTGTCTCTCAACGAAATTCCAAAGTTCTGTTTTCATCCCAAAGACATATAATAGAACAAGAAAAGGCATAGAGTCAAAGCCAAGCCAATTAAGTTGAAAAAACCAGCATAGCATGTAGCTGCTTGTTTTGATAAGTCAATGCTCATTTAAAGGTTCTGCTGATTATGAGTCAAGTTACAAAATTGTTCTCATGACCTTATGTAATTGTTCTCATTATCTTAACAGAACATGTTTCTGTGTTCCACTAGTAAACGTTTATTTATTCATTTATTTCTCTTATAACATAATAACAAGCACCCTTACTATCATCAAACATAAACTTGCAAGAATCAAAGAAAAGCTCAGAATATTGCTACCATAAAACAATTTATAACTGAAAAAGAAAAAGAAACCACAGAATAAACATGGTTTAAGTATAAAACTTCACTTTTTTTCTCATAAACTGAATATACCAATATAAGAAATTTTCATCTCAACAATACCCAACAACTTAGACCAAAATCCCAATTTCACCAATAGAATAAACAGAATACAGTTCACAAAACTCTTAACTTATAAGATTGGAAGAATCAAAATAAGATAATATTTTCTATTTTGCAAAATCAATAATCTAGCTTCAGGTTGCAAGATCCTCACATGCTAAATAAATAAATACAAAGCGGTTAATAAGTTAAATCCAGCGAAAAATGGTGAGAATGAGAGTTTTAGTAGGAAACCTGGTACTGGAACTGAATACCTTGATCATCAGCAGACTCGATGGAAACTCAGAGATGAGTTGAGTTAGCTCGGAGTTGACTGGCCATCTACAGAAGAAGAGAGAAAGAGACACTTGATGCTGCAAGACGCGTGCTGAAAAGGACAATCATCAGCTAAAGTAAAATAAAAACTCCACTTAACCACAGAGAAATAGCCTTGCCTTGTATAATAAATACAGTTAAATTGATTCATTTGATGGGCAAGTCAAGTTTCCACTCCGCCCTCCACAATATGCGTCTTTCTTATTGTAATTTAATTTATTACCTCGTATTAAGACATAGCAACCAAAAGATCCAAATGAAAATCTAGCAAATTTGATATTTCGGCGATCCAAAAAGGATATAAATAGTTTAATGTCAAATAGCTATTAAAAAAAATTAATTTTCATAAATTATAATAAAATATTTATTAATTTAATTAAATTATCTTTAGAAAATTGTATAAATAATTCGCATTTAATGTAAATAATGATGAACATAGAAAAACATTATTAATTACTCAAAAATATTTTAAAAATGACTTATATTTATAAATAATAAAATATTTATTTTATTTATTCCAAACTAAGGAAAAAAATAAGACTTTCAATAATTAACATGCACGAGAACACCTTGTGGCGGCAGAGAAATGTTATTCTTAAAATGATTTTTGGTAAATTATAACAAAATATTCATTAATTTGACTAAATCACTCTTAGAAAATTATATAAATAATTATTGTATATAATATAAATAAGGATAAACATAGAAAAATATTATTAGCTAATCAGGTAGTGGTTTGGTTGGTCTTCTTACTTATATGAGGAGTGAGAGGTCTCGAATTCATCTCTGACTACAGTTGCTTTCACTAATTTGGTGAGCTAAAGAGATGTCTCGAATTCGAGTCCTCTTAACCACAATTGCTTTCACTAATTTAATCAGCCAAAGAGAAAGTTATCCTGTTACGTAGTCCGCTGTGTTATTTCGGCCCATAAAATTCTCCGATGAATTAAAAAAAAAACATTATTAATTATTTAAAAATATTCTCAATACGATTTATATTTATAAATGATAATATTTATTTTATTGATTTCAAATTAAGGACGAAATGAGATTTTTCAATAATTAACATGGACGAGAACACCCTTGTGGTGGTGGGAAAATGTTGTTATTCTTGAAATGATTTTGGCTAAAATGTAGAATCAAGAAGTTATTTTGTAGACGAATGACTTACAAATAGTTTTGGAAATGATTCGAGGGAAAATATACAAGACAAAAGATGAATCCAAGGGATCAAAATGCACAGCTTAAAAATCTGAGGATAAAATAAATGAACTTCACATGTTTAATAACTAGAGGAAACTTAGGATAAAAATTTAACGCTTTCAATTGTACATTTTCAAGATAGAACAAGGAAATTCAATTCAAAATCTGCAAGGTGAAAAAAGGCAGTGAAGAAGAAGAAAAATATGAGATCAATCTAAAACCCATATTTATTGCAATGGATACATCTACTCATACAAATGAGCCATCAACCAAATATTAAAAGAGGAAAAACAAAAAGTGAAACTCTCTACAAAATAGTTTACAATCACCAATACAGGAGGAAAAACCTTTTCAGGTGCTATTTTCTTGTAATACAAACTGCTTCGGGATTGGTATGAAAAAGGCCAACAATGTTGTCACTCTCGCAGGAAGTTAATGCTTGGAGAACATGCCTTGTGTTAACGAGGAAAAATCATAATCCTTTCCAGTTTGTGATGAATTCCCTGATGAAACTGGAGCTGCTGATTGAGGTTTACTTACTCCTGCAGTAGTCACGCCGTTTACCGAGGTAGCCTGTCCCATGGTATAAAAGCTGCAAGGAAAGAATGCCAAGATTATTAATACAAAGCTGTGGAAATCATAGAAAAAGTTGCCTCATGTTTACAATAACTTATGCAACGGTGAGAGACCTAGAAAAATTGCATAGTTGCAGCCAAAAGGTTGGTGAACAGTGATCACAAACATAACATTACAAACTGGTAAGCCCAAATTCAAATCTCCAATTTACTTCTAGTAAAATGGAAAAAAAAAAAATGGTAAGGAAAGAACAATAAAAATGAAGCTCCAATATACACACTAAAAAACAATAGTGGTGGTTGGGAACTGTTACTCAAACTAGGGAGGTTTTCACCAATTTGGTGAGTACTATTCAAAACGGGAAGGGTCACCCCTATTGTGAAACCCACAATTTTATTCCGAAAAAAAAAAAGAAAAAGAAAAACTACAGTGCTGTCATCTTAACCTTGAGATTTTGCACAAAGTGGAATATTGTATTCCATAAAAGACAGTATAAAAACCTCCCAAGGTTTTGCACAAGTGACTAGTTCTAAGAGGAACTCTGGCAGTGTTTATGAGAGAAATGTGGTTCTCATTTTTCAGTGGCAACTTGCATGCTGCAAGTAGTCAACATAAGATGAAGAAAATCCACAATAAGCTTGAAGTAGTATATTCCCTCCTCCCTCAAGGCTAAACAAATTATTCACACAAGTTGAGTCCAAAAAAGTTTGAACAATGAGCATTTTTTACGCCTTGTGGACAGCAAAACTGGGACACTAAATTCTGAAGCAACAGAAGGCCCTCTAAGACAAGAAGACAACACATACAAATAATGCATGAGCACATAGAATCATGGAGAAGCAAATTTTGATGCTTGACTCTTCAGCCTCATCTAGCCAAAGTGGCCAAATCTACCAGTTCTACCACCTGGCAAAAGCTCATTGGATTTTTGCCAAAGGGCAACAGTTACACCCAATAACAAGATATGCACTCCACATATCTTAGACATAAGTTTTAAATACCATCTGAAGTTTGAGTTGACTCAAACAAGCATGTTAAACAAAAATGAAATATTAAGCTGACAAACAGACATTTTTCTCAAAGCAAAAAATAATTGCATTAATTTTGTGATATAGTTTGAGAGAGCACGTATTTGCTAATTCCTCAATATTGTATTTTACAAGTGCAGTCAAATTGAAAGGGGGAAAAATCACCTTGATGTTGGATATGGTATAGAGCCTCCGGCTTGGTTTGTGAATCCTGTGTTGCCAGTCTAACTCAAGGGAAAAACAATTGAGCTATCAGATCACAAGAAGCGGCAAATCAAATGCCACAAAACTTGATGCAATCAATGATTCAATGTTATACACTACCTGCACAAGTTTCCGAGGATCACTCTGCCCAGCTACTGGCATCACTAATCCAGGAAATTGGAATCCAACATTCTGCCAATTTTGAGCAGGCAAGTTAATACCATTGGATCCAGGCTGTTGAATACTGCCAGGAAACTTTGGGTCCACACCACCTGATTTTGCTGCAGCAGCCATAAGAAGAGTTTGTTGCTGAGCCAACATAGCAAGTTGCTGTTGATGCATTGCAAATGGGGACACCATATTGGACTTCAAAATATTCAAAACAAAAGTATTAGACTTTATATTTATACTGCAAATATTATTCTCCAAAGACTGCCAATTCCAACACAAAATTAAAACAAGGTCAGAGGTTCTTTATGTGAAATGATTTTACAACAAAAGTTTCAGTATCTCTGCTTAGTAAAATATTCACCCAATCAAAGTTTTTGAAGAGGATTTCTAACATTAATAGAATAATTATGAACAAATACCTTCTCAAAAAGGCTCATAATGTCATTTTTTACATCTTTTTCGGGTTTCTCTGACACTGACGCAGTAGTTAAGGGAATAGAATCTTTAAATAAATCCTCAATTCCAGAACTGGAGTTAGCATTACTCTGAACTGCTTTAATCGGACCAGTTTTCTCAGTTGTTGATTCTTCTTCAGCAGCTGCAGCTGCAGCTGAAAATTTACTGAGAGTCAAACTAACAGAAAAAATAAAATTCACTAATGTAAAGCAAAAAATTATAAGGAAACTAGATCATGTTATTAAAATTTTAGAAGGGGACTGAATAAAAAATTTAAAAAAATTGCCAAAACTGATTGGGTGATCCTACGATATTTCATAAAGGGAAGACATACATTGAAAACCTGCCCACCCATTATCATCATTGGAAGCTGCATCTGAGCCATTTTCTTTTCTTCCATCCATGGATAGCATGTTGAAGAGGTCAGTAGCATAATCAACTTTAGATACAGAAATGGCTGGAGCAGTAGTGGCAGCATTCTTTGTTGTGTCGGTCGACTCCACCTTAGGTTCAGCTTCCTGAATACCCTGTTGGGGTTTTGCAGGAGGTGCAACCTATTGTGCACAAGTATGTCATGCTCTCATATGTTTTTAAGTCTTTTAAGTGGGGAGGACAAACAAATGAAAATGAACATGCATATATATAGGATTCTTCTACTCTAACCAAGAGATATCATGAAGTAAACTCAAGGATATAAATAGAAGGAACCTTATAAAAATAAACATTTATGGTTTCGTCAAATTCTGTTAATTTCTTTCATTTCATACAAAATGCATTATATATATTAATAGTTTTTTGACATGACATCTATCTTGTCAATCGCACTGACCTAAACAGCTACTCTATCGCTTGTCTTCACGCCAAAACTTACGCCTAATGCTTGTACACTAAAACTTTATTTTAACTTCCGATATAGAATTCTGAATCACAGATTCCCCACATCCCAAACCTTTATGCACAGTTGAAATCAATTCATTCTCGAGTCAGTAATTTTAAGCAGATAAAATAGGTTAGCCAGGTTTTCTGCAGTACATTTCTTTTGCAAGAAAGTAGGGGACAGAATCTTAAAGCATGTAGATACCCTATTCTGTAATTCAAATAATTCCCACGCTAATCAAGAATTGTTGCCAATATAAATAAAGAATATATAGAGAAAAAGCAACTAAAAGAAACCCCTCCCCCACACCCAGAAAAAAAATAAAAAATAAAAAAATAAAGAAAAGAACTGTGCTCATACATTATACTAAAATGAAATTAGGGAAATTCAAAGATACAAAGTAAAGCACCATTCAGAATTTACTTTAATTATCCGGAAACGACAGATATATTTCAGACCCACAAAACTTTTTCAAGTTCATTTGGATCCAATGCCTCCATAAAAGCTGCCCTTGGAAACAATCAAAAGACTAGACCTTTCCTTCAAAACAATTTGCACCTACTACGGTTGGCAGTATTTCGCTCCCCATTTCTCAATTTATTTCTCATGATTAAAAGAGAGCAAGAGTGAAGAAAATACAAAAATGTATTGGCTAAGCCATTCTCTTACTGAAAACACCAATGCTTCCAATTAGATTTAATAACAAAATACCTGCTCAGGTCCCTTGGGAGGAACGGGAATGCTAATTCTTGCAGCAGGAATACTGTCTTTCGAACTTGAAGGTTGAGCATTCTTTCTTTCATCAAAACTATTTTCTGAACTGCTGGCACGCTGATGCCCACTCCTTTCATTGGGTCTCTGCCAATTCACAGCAGAACTTTCATCACGCCCTCTAGGAGGGGATTTTGGGTGTCCATCTTTGGCGACCCATCTCTTCTCCTCATACCTGTACGACAAACACAAGAATCATGTGTACTTCAGTTCCATCAGCACAAAGGGAGGATGACATACTGAGAAAAGGGTAAAGACAGTGTTCAAACAATAGACACATACTTTGCACGAATGAAATTCTCTATGCCAACTCTATCATAGTTAGGGGGTAATTCCGCCTCCCAGTAACTATTTGCCTTCTCATTTCCCATTGCTTACCAAACAAAAAAAAAAAAAGAAAAAAAGGAAAATAGCAAGCAGGCCATTAACCAATTTAGAAGTAATGAATACAATCAGAATAATCACAAGCTCATGACCAAACAAACAAGCTTACATTGAATAAATGCAACCTGCTCAGGAAGCCATGTGTCAAGGGTTGCAGATCGAACCTGCAGCAAAAAAACACATAATAATTTAAGTATCTCCTCCTCAAAGATATTGCCACTTGATTCATATTAAATTGTAGTTTTATTGAGGAACATTAATGATCAAGATTTGAAATATGTAAGGGGCAAAAGAAGGCTGAAGATTCATTAGACAGCCAAATCCAAGTTTCCATGGGCTCAAATGGCAAGAGAAAATGAAATACTTGGGTAATAGTTCTGAAGTTTACTAACAGCAGAGAAAACTTTTCATAAAAAACTATATAGTGTGGCAAAAGTAGTCAAATGGCAAGTACCGAAATATGGTTCTTGGAAAAAGAACCATGACAGAGCATGAACATCAACTTGCATGTATTGCCCAGTGAGATGAGACTGTTTTATATGTGAAACCATTTTTTCTACAAAAGGTGGTGGCTAAATAATCATTTATGATTCACAATGTGCAAAAATGCCGTTAACTTAATAGATATAATATCGTGATTATTATGCAATGTACAACTAATCAATAATCGCCTGTCTTTGATGTTTAAATCTTATCTTTGATGTTTCATTATGTCCTAAAAGTACAAAAACAATTAGTAATAAATAGAAGCTGCAGATCATTTGATTCTGCACAAAATTCAAGTTACCTTGTTATTAAGGTCCGTGAAAAATACTCCAGAAACTATTGTTCTACAACAAAGCTTAGTGCACTTATTGACAAAATTCCGCACAAATAATCCAATAGTAATTCAGGGCAGCATATCCCAGTTAAATCAATCATCATAAAGCACATTAGATGGTTAAACATCACCTTTGATATGTGCACGCCAAGACTTCTGTGGATCCCTGAACATTGCATGCAAATAAAGATCCCTAGATTAACACTTGCCCATCTTGGACCTCTGCGCCACAAGCAAGTTAACATTAGGAGTAAATTATAGATAACAAAGAGCAAACACTGTAACAACTTCCCAATGCAAGGCATAATTCCTGACTGCTATCTTCAAGTTTGGCATTTAAGTAGCTTTTTATATATATATATATATATATATAAAAGGAATTCATATATTGCTGCTGAAAACATTTTTTTAGATTTTTTATGATCAAAACACATAAAATCTACCTTAAAAAGTTAATTTTTAACTTCCCCTAATACACTTAATTAGGATGAGACAGCTCTTGACAATACTATAGAAGTAATTCCAAAATAGCCCAAGAAATTTTTGAAGCTTATGCATATTCAATATTTAGTATTATGGTAACCATATCCGGCACATTTGTCTGCATACATATTACATACTTGGATTTGCAGTCAGCACATTCTCTATTCTCAGGCAATTTAAGGAGACCTTCCAAGATCTGCATACGTACAAAAGCATATGCAGCAATTTAGTCTAGAAACTTCAAAGGAAATAAAAAGAAGCTTATATTGAAATCCTACATTCCTATATTCCATATTCCATAATAGCATTCAGGCAAGACGAGATCCAAAGAAAACATCTGCGCATATAACACGGACTGTTCCATCAAATTCAAGAATACTACCAACAAATTGTAAACAACCAACCGAAAAGACATTAATGCAGCTGAACGAGTACAAATCAAATGAATATTATACTTAAATATATATACTTCCAAAAATGAAACATCCTTAGGCTTTCCATGCAGGCAATCAGTATTAGTTCTAACGATGATCCAAACAACACTTTCAAACATTTTAAATCAATGCTTATAAAATGCAATTTCACCAAAAGCTACACTTAACAACCATTCGTTAACACAAAGATTAATATTCCATGCTATATCCGTCAATCAAATATTCCCGAAAAAAAAAATTAAGTAGAAATGGGAAAGTTGTAATCAAACACCTATAGTCAGATTGAAAAAAACAGATTCCATCCAACAAACACGAACCAAATTTAGGTAAAAAACAAATCTATCAACCTTCTATTTGATCAGTGCATCAATTCTCCCGAATTGCTCAACAACCAAACAGAACATCAACTATTTATTTTAGATCAATAAAAAATTTCAGATATTAATCAAACTAAGCCACAAACACCAAATTTGGAATAGCCAAGACAAAATCGGAATTTCAGAAAAGCACAGAGCGGCAATCAGACAATTAGATTGAGAACCTTTCTGTGCTTAGCATTAAGCTCTTTGGATACGTTGGCCTTCTCGTTCATGGCGACCGTACGAGACCTGAAAATCGGATAAATTGAGAGAGAGAAGAAACAAAGAAGAAATTACAGAGAAATTGAGGTCAATTTCCTCTTTTTGATCTGTCTCTCCTCTCTTCCTCTCTGTAATTTTTTTTTTTTTTTTTTTTTTTTTTTTTCAGACAAAGCACAGCAGCGGCAATCAGACAATTAGATTGAAGCAACCTTTCTTGCCTTAGCCATTAAGCTCTCTTGTATACGCTTGGCCCTTCTCGTTCATCTGGCGACCCGACGAGACCTGAAAATCGGACAATTAATTGAGACGAGAGAAAGAACACAAAAGAAGAAAATTACAGAGAACATTGAGGGTCCAACTTCCTCTTTTTGATCTGTCTCTCCTCTCTTCCTTCTCTGTAATTTTTTTTTTTTTTTTTTTTTTTTTTGGCTTTCTCTATTCTTTCTGTCTCTCGTCTCTCTCTCCCCTCTCTCCTCTCGAATATCATGCGAAAAAAAGGAGAGAGAGGAAAGAATTTTTTTTTTTTTTTTTTTTTTTTTGGTTTTCTTATTTTCTGTCTCTGTCTCTCTTCCCTCTCTCTCTGAATATCATGCGAAAAAAGGAGAGAGAGAAAGAAAGTAGAGATCACAAACAGCGTTTTAGCCTCTTGACTTTTAAATTTTGTTTATTTATTTATTTTCTTTTGTTGTTGTTCTTTTTTTTTTTTTGTTTGCACGTGTGATTGTGAGGTGTTTGCCGAGTTGTGTGATTGGTACGTGCGAAGGTAGGTTGGCTGAAAACGGCAGCGTTTTAAACGGTTTTAAATTAATACTCAAGGTTTCTGGAGAAATAGTATACGGTTGTCAGGATTTGGCTCTTCCAAATTTGCAGACTAGGCGACCCTGTGACTGTGAGTATCTCCATGCTTTATGTGCAATTCTCAAAATTCAAATTTATATTGTGTTTGGTTCCTGAGATATTGTCGAACAAGAGAGGAAAGTTTAATATTTTCTACTTTTTCTAATTTTTTCTTAGCAACCAAACGGTGGCATAAGGGTTTATATTTTGTTTATGCATTATTTGTTTTTTTTTTTTTCCCTCATATAAGCTGCCTTGGTTGTAGAAATTTGAACTTCGAAGATGAATTAAACAAGTTTCTAATATTGCCTCCGACTATTTTTGGTTTTATGAATTATCAATTCTGATATTCTTAATGTTTTTTTGTGTTTGTTTAAAAGGGGAAAACCAAATAGTTTATCAAGTTGTTTGTTTGGGAATTAATTTTATTGTTTATTTTCCACTTGTCTGTTAGAAAATAACATATGCTTGATTTTGAATTTGCGGAAGTGTTCTTTTTTAAATGATCAAAAGTAAGTAGAGATTTAGAAACAATCTTTGGTCTCCTTCATTTTGTTTGATGCTTCATTTTTTGTATAATTTTGAAGTTCATCATATGTAAGTTACTGTTGTTTTTGTGATTTACCTTGGGCTGGCTAGTTCTTCCTGTTAACATGTTTATCAAGTTGAAATTAACTGATTTTTTAGGTTGACTCTGTTTTCTGAATTGGCCATTTTGTGCCCTTGGCCTTGGGAAAGAATTCATGTATTGCCTCAAGCTTTTGGATGTTTGAGGCTACTTTTTCTTAGTTTTTTTAGGCTAAATAACCAAAACCGAATCCCGATCTTTGCACAAATTTTCAAATTTTTTTTTTAATTTTATCAAAATTTACCAGGACCCTTTAGCCTTACAAATAATTGTGAGCCAGTTGACAGATATATATGCCAGTTGACAGATATACTATATAATATATATATATATATATATAATATATTGGACCTCTATTGTTTCATTTGAATAAGCCCACATACTGCCATAGGACAGGATTCTTGGCATTAACTGTCCTGAAAACCACTTTTCCACGAGGCACCTCCACACGCGACACCATTATACGCTTAGTGTATAAAAGAACGAAGAAAGGGATTTTAAGCGATTTCCCCTATTATTATATCAGTCTCCTTTTTGTTGTTAGCTTATCTATATGTTCTACCATTATGTTCGTCGCCTTTATTTTCACTTTTCCCAGTCTACTGGGCCACATTAATCTGATAATCGAGACACACCATTCATATATAGTTTCCTCTTTCCTTAGTAGTTGCTCATTGTTGGAGCGGCAATCAGTGGATACAATTTTTTTTAACAGATAGAGAGCAAACATTGCGCAACGTTACAAGCCTCGCGTAGGGCTTTTTGCGCGCCCCAATAACTCGTATCAGGTCTATCATCCTCCTTATGGTTACTTAAGGGGAGCGCCCTATGTGAAGCCCTTTCCGGAGCCTGCGATATCATCGTGTCACGCGCCTGTGCACACGGGGAGTTTGCCCTTTATACGGACCTTCAACCCTATCTTGTGAGGGGAATACTTTATAGATCTAAAGACAATGTTAGCACTAGCTATGCCCAGTTCCCAGTCTAATAACCTCATGTAATCACTTGTGGCGGGGGAAGGCCAAAGTGGCAATTTCACGAAGCCGGTCTGCCGGATTAATCCGAGCGCCCAACAAAATCATAAGGTATACCGGCCGTTGTAGTCTTCAGGACAAGAGCCCCTGATGTCAGAGGACTGCCTGCCTATCCGGAAGCCGTTATCTTCTGTGCACGGCCTGACAGTGCTCAGCTCCTATAGGCTATTGGAACGAAATGAATGAAGGAGAATTGGGCACAAACTACATTTATCAGCTCCGCAAGGTCTTTAATGGCTAGCCACCTTATGCTCTGAACAACTCAGATTATCGCGCCTCTCACTCTGCGAGGTTCTAATAAAATCTTGTTACCTTGCATAGACCTTCATTTGTTACAGCATTGCAACGCTATGGAGCTAACCTATTAAAAAACTCAATAAATAAAAATAAATAGACGACCACAAAAAATCAAGAGAGAGACACTTTGTGGCCCGCAAACTTTTCCCCGGGAAGCACTTTTTGGCTGAGTCTTGTTTCTTTTCTCAATAGTGTCAGTCTCAAACCATAATCATCAGTTGTCGACTCTTGATTGCGGTTGTTGGTGCGGAAAAAGAAACACTGAGAATTTGTCTGGTTGTCCCGTACTACTGCCAATATTATCACTAGTGGGCCAATAATCTATGTTATCCTCCGTCAACACGCAAACAATTCGTATACTTCTAAAATTGCAAATGATAAAGCCAGCACTTGGTTCAGACCTCCACATTTTCCCCCTTCCCGCGGAAGCCCTAAAAATTTCTGTATTGCATGCCTTTGGAGCCAAGAAATTGGGCCGGGGCTGCTTTCCGGGGCCCCAAAATCGTACGTATACATGCCGCTTCTATCTAGGTCTACTTTTAGTGAAGTCGGTAGCTCCCCTGAGTTGATAATAATATCCCCACTGTATTTCATGCAGGAAAGCCGAGCGGACCACACCTCATATATGTGCTTTAATTGCAGGAGTCACCTGGCAACATTTGCTGCTTTTCGACGCTCGGAGGTCTCGTCCTACTAGGCCACTTCCTGTAAGAGAAGCTGATGGTTTTGTCCAACCACAGTTGGTCGGGAACCTTCCCAAAACAATATAGTTGTTTATATCCGGAGCTGTGAGATCTTTCTAAGATTATTATAGCGGAGTTTTCACGAATAGTATCAGGTCTACATCTTTGTATTGAGTCTCTCTAAACTTTAATACAGGCATGACCTTATATCTTTCTACGCTATTCTGGCTAAAAAGATGGTTTACTCAAAGACAGTGCGTTCATTATAACAGCAGCGGATCTAGCCTCAAAAACTAAATTACTCCATGATAATATCATCATTTGAACATAATTGATGAGCAATTCAGTATAGCTATGGCCCGCCCTCTCACAACATCCTTCGTGGACGTGTGCCTAGAGCGGCCACCCCACATATATAAAAAGCATTTTACTCGTGTTTCTGTGACCCACCGCTCCCAATAGTCTTAGCTAACATTAGGCCAGAGTTCGAACAGCAATCGCTTAGCTTATTTCACTATTACTATACAAATGATTGAAGTTCTCCAACTCCTGAATACCACTCTTGGGCGGAATACCTACGACACACTGTCGTGTAGTCCTCATACAGCCTGTCGCTATGGTTCCCTTCACAAGGGTGCGTCCCCGGATTCAAAATCAGAAAATAACGTGTTCTAAAATAGGCCTTAGAGCTCCAATGAGCACTGAACTAATCTCACCGTCTCATAATCATTCGTTATGAAGAGACCCCCCCAACCCACCACCCCCAATTCACCCCTCCTACCTACCTCTTCATCCACCCCCAAGAACATCGTCACCAGAAGCATAGGGAATCAAGATCGATAACAATCATGCGGACCCCATCCACGAACCTCTGACCCCGAGACGTGTCTTTAGAGTCAGTCTCCCTTTGCTCGTGGGTGTTTTACCTCTATGCGAGGGAGCCATATTCGCTATACATAGGAGTGTTTCCACAAGTTTGCCTACAGCCGGCAGGATACACAGGATACCTCGCCGACCTTTATTTGCTTGTCACTCCATCTGTAGAGAAACGAAGCTGCAGGCAAGGAAGTCGTGTCTTTTAGGCATGCTTTTATGACATAAGAGACCGCCTGAGTTTGTCTTGTGCTGCAAGTGACCATCTCGGATTGAAAGATGAATGGCATCGTCTTACTGTATAACAACTTATGCTCCGTAGTGCAATCGGTGCGCGTGTGCGTAAGCTAAACCATGTACTTCGAGCCCTCATATCGAATACGGACGCTTAATTGGAGCCACAGCCATTGAAATTTTTCTTACATAAAGTATGTGGCTCAACTATCTTCTTTTATTATTCTGGAGGAACTGGGTAGACGATAGCGGAATCCGATGGCGACCTACTGCTGTTATGTACGTTACTTTGCAACCACCCACCCTAAACAGAGGGTCACTGGGCGAGTCCTGTTAGATGTTGCTGGTCATTTGGGAAAGGAACTATGCGCCCAACAAACCCTGCAGAAAGTCACCTCAAAAGACTATAAAAACACCGGCGCACACCAAAACTCCCACCCGGGCTGTGATGCCCCACTACTGCCGAAGATACATTGGGGGCCACTGATGTTAAAATGAGCCCAATGGTTCCACGAATGATGCTGCCTGTGCTGCCTACTGGTGCTGGGCCTGTCAGGTCTTAAAACGAACCTCTG